GAAAAACATATAGGCATCCTCCTGAATATTAACCTTCATCAGGCGATGAAAGGAGACAGAGACAGAGACCCACATTTGAGCACTGTACATAAACCTCAAGGTCCAAATCAGGAGCAGAAGGAGAGAGAGCACGAGCAAGGAACTCAGGACCGCGAGGGGTGCACCTACACACTGAGACAATGGGGATGTTCTAATGGAAACTCACCAAGACCAGCTGGCCTGGGTCTGGAAAAGCCTGGGATAAAACCGGACTCTCTGAACATAGCGGACAATGAGGACTACTGAGAACTCCAGAACAATGGCAATGGGTTTCTGATCCTACTGCACACAGTGGCTCTGTGGGAGCCTAGGCAGTTTGGATGCTCAACTTACTAGACCTGGATGGAGGTGGGAGTTCCTTGGACTTCCCACAGGACAGGGAACCCTGATTGCTTTTCGGGTTGGGGGGGGACTTAATTGGGGGAGGGGGAGGGAAATGGGAGGCGGTGGCGGGGAAGAGACAGAAATCTTTAATAAATAAATAAATTTAAAAAAAATAAAATAAAAATATTAAAAAAATGCAAAAGGGTGGAAACTAAAATGTTAGAAAAATACATCTTGTGAAACTGAAAACGAAAGCTGTTGTCACCATAAAAATGTCCAAGTAGACATTAAAGTAAAACTTACTAAGGAACAAAAAGGAAAATACTAAACACAAAAAGCATCACTAGTAATAAAGACCAAGTTTTTACAGCTGCAGAACTGCATTGATGCTTGACATTCTATCAGAAAAAAATCCATTGATAAAATGAAGAGTATATAATAAGTTCTTATGGACAGAAAAACATTTTAGATACAATATACATTTATGGTTTTTATTTTAATTAAAAACTCTCAAAAATAGGAAATAGAAGCTATTCTTTATAGCTCACTCTGGTCTCACTCTGGCAGCAGAAGTCACTTAATGCTAAGGTGTTGAAAGCTTTTCTCTAGACTCAGAGCAAGAATTCCACTGTCACTTCTGTATAATGTTGTACTTAGCATGCTAAGGTGTGCAAAAGACTAGACAAATTTTAGGAAACCTGAAGGAATCTACACATAAAGTTTTAAAATTGGCAAGTAAATTTGGTAAGGTAACTGGTACAAGTTGGCTATGCAGTAATTAGTTACATATAAACCAGAACCAAATCATTACAAAGAGAATTTTTAAATGACAGTATTTAGGTGCTGCCAATTGTATATACAGTAACACTAAGGAATATTCACTACTTTGAAGTAAATCCCATGGAAAAGGTGCAGTACCATACTATAAAACATTCAGAAATATTAAGGTCATTAAAAGTTTAAATAGATATTTCAAGTTTTTGAATTAGAATGGTCCATATTTTAATACATGCATTTTTTTCAGAAGTTGCATTGAGTCTCAATGAAAAACCCAATAATAAAGGCTGAAAAGGTGATTGTAAGGTTTACATAGCAATGCAGAAAACCAAGAGTAGTTCAGGTAGGCTTATAGAACAATACTATTCAGACTTACTGCTGGCTATCAAGATTTTATTTAGCCAAAGTAATCAGGGATGGAGAGATGATTCTGCGGTTAAGAGCACATATTTCTCTTGCAGAGGACCGAAGTTTGGTTCCCATAGCCCATGTTACAGAGGGGTTCACAACCTCCTACAGCTCCAGCACCAGGGATTCTGATGGCCTCTTGTGGTTTCCATGGTTACCTACACTCATATACACATACCTACACAGACACAAACTTGTTATTTAAAACATAATATGAAGTTTTTAAATATTTATTTTATTTTATATGCATTGGTGTTTTGCTTGCATGTTTGTCTGCGTGAGGGTGTTGGATCCCTGGAACTTGAATTACAGACAGGTGGGAGCTGCCATGTAGATGCTGGAATTGAACCCAGGTCCTCTAAACCATCTCTCTAGTCCCAATGGTACAAATCTTAAATAAAAGAAGTACTGTCAAAAAAAATTCCTACAGCAGTTAAGATAGTCTTGGAGTAGCATAAGCAGACTGATGGTACAAAGAAGAAATATAAGAGCAGCCTCACACATGGACATGTGGTTTCCGAGAAAAGCTGTGGATGGAAGTTTTTGGTTTTTTAATAAATAGTCCTGGAGATACATATATATAAGAAAAGATAATCTTGACTCCAGCTTATACATAAAAACTCAATTCCCATTGATTTATAGACTTACATATAAGATGTTTTTAAAATAAAGCTTCTGTAAAATTGGAGAATAGCAAGGCAAGGGTGGCCCACACCTTTAATCCCAGCACTTAGGAAGCAGAAGCCGATAGATCTCTGAGTTTGAGGCCAGCCTGGTCTATAGAGTAAGTTCCAGGACAGCCAGGGCTACACAGAGAAACCCTATCTCAAAAACAAAAGAAAAAAGAAAGAAAGAAAGAAAGAAAGAAAGAAAGAAAGAAGAATATTTTTTAAGACCTTGAGATAGAAATAGGTTTCTTGGGACAGGAAAAGCATTACCCACAGTGTATGCTGATCAATTATAGCACTCCACGTCAGAACTAGCATTAAGAAAGCCAAGAAGAGCCAGAGGCCTGTTCACACCTATAATTTCAGCACTCTAAAGGCTGAAATGGACAACATGGGCTACAGTGAGAACATGTCTCAAGATAAAAGAAGGAAGAACAAAAGAAAAGGGATAAGGAAAGAAGTTAAAATGATAGCAGGAAATTTTAATAAACATTTCATTAAAAAGTGGTTATTTGGATGGGAAAAAAAATTAAACACAGAGTCATCCATTCAGTAAATGAGCAAATGTTTGAACAGACTTATCCCAAAAGAAGACATATAAGTGTCCCATAAATATATGAAAAATGTTAGCCATCCTTAATCCTCAGAAGAATGCAAATTAGTGCATTAATATTCTCTTTCCATCCCCAGTCAGAATGGATATTGACAGGACAATGATGGTGAGGATTTTAGAGAGGGAACCCTTTTATAATGCTGGTGAGAATATGAACTGATGGAAATCAGAACACTAGAATAGAATTTCCATATCATCTAGCTATACCATTGATGGATGTAAACTTGGATCTAAGTCAGCCTACTACAGATGCATTTGCCTGTCCATGTTTATTGCAGCATTGTAGTATTGGAGCGGTGGGCTGCGTCCCCAGCATCCGGTCGCCCACACGGCTAGCTTTACCCGAAATAAATACACAGAAATTGTATTCTTTTAAACACTGCTTGGCCCATTAGTTTCAGCCTCTTATTGACTAGCTCTTCCATTTCGATCTAACCCATTTCTATTAATCTGTGTAGCCCACGAGCTGGCTTACCAGGAAAGATCTTAACCTGTGTCTGTCTGGAATGGGAGAATCATGGCGACTCCCTGACTCAGCTTCTTTCTCCCAGCATTCTGTTCTGTTTATTCCTCCCACCTATGTTTTAACCTATGGGGCCAAGCAGTTTCTTTATTACTTAACCAATGACCTTCCTCCATCACAGCATTGTTCACAGTAGCCACAATATGGAAGCAGCCTAGATGCCCATCACAGATGAGTAAAGAGAATGTGGTGTACACACAACAGAATTTTACTCAACTATAAAAAAATGAAATAAGCCGGGCGCACGCCTTTAATCCCAGCACTCGGGAGGCAGAGGCAGGTGGATCTCTGTGAGTTCGAGACCAGCCTGGTCTACAGAGCTAGTTCCAGGACAGGCTCCAAAGCCACAGAGAAACCCTGTCTCGGAAAAAAAAAAAAATGAAATATATCATTTGTAGGAAAGTGGATGGAACTGGTGAACATCATGCTAAGCAAAATGAACTAGATTTGTAAATACAAATAGTATATCTTTCTTAATATGCAGAATCCATATTTAAATATGTATGACATGAAAGTAAAAGTACTCGTGAGGGGAAAGGAGTTTTGAAGAAGGAGGTAAGCAGGGAACAGGAGAAGGTAATGGAGGAAGACAAAATATCACATTTTCTCTTAGGAGGTATGTGTGTGACCTGAAAGCAGGAAATCCTGTTTGATGGGAAAGCAATAGCCAAGAATTGCGAGGAGTGTAGAAGAGTGGGGTGATAAATACAGCTTTATTAATGTACTTAGCTCCAGAGATCTATATGCTTAAAATGAATAACATGGTAAATTTTATGCCTTGTTTTACTATATTTTGCCCTATAATAAAAAATCACCAAAAGGTTGCTGGACTAGTAGTCAAAGAGATAAAATATGTGTGATTCTTAAAATAAAGCAAATTGCTCTCTTTTTTAACTTGCAGATTAGGTACCCATACACTTTACTTCCCCAGAGTCCTGTCCTGAACTTTGAGAGCCAGTCTTTAAAAATAAACACATGACAATTAAGATATGCTGTAAGAAGTTCTCTAAAAATTAATTTTAAGTTTTTAATTAAAAAAAATCATAACACAGACTTGGTGGCATATGCTTTTAACCCCAACCCTTAGGAGGCAGAGGCAGATGGGTCTCTATGAATTCAAAGCCAGCTTAGTCTCCATCAAATTCCAGGCCAGCCAGGGTTGACTATTAATAGACAAATAAACATCACTGTATAGTGCTAATGAAACAGTTAAACTTGTTTTACATTTGAACTTTTTGTTGTCACTCCAAAAATCATTTGGTTTTGACCCTTCCACTTCTCAGGCGTTCTATAGGCGGCTTTGTTCTCTGTTGTCATTGTTGTAAGTTGTTGACAGTTTGGCTTTTTCTCATAATACAGACTTTTAATCCTAGTACTCAGGAAAGCAGGGGCAGATGGATCTCTGTGAGATTAAGGCCATATTGGTCAGTTTAGCAAGTTCTAGGCCGAAAAGGGCTACATGATAAGACCCTGTTTCAAAAAAATTGAGTTTAATGAACTTCCATATTTGATGATACATCTCCACCAACATGTTTCTGCATGTTCAAAATTCACAGTGATAACTGCAGTTTGTACTTTTATTATCTCCTTCCCCGTATTTCTTACCCTTCTCTTCCCCAATCACTCTTTCTCTCCTGCATTCCTGAAGCTATCCTGGCCTTTTAGTCATACCTCAAGCTGTACAAGACAGCAGTTTACCAAGAGTAGCCCGCTGCTATCGACACAACCGTCTACCCGTCGTGTGCTGGAAGAACTCAAGAAGTGGTACTCTGCTCCTCCGATCCGGGGGATTCCATGGCAAGGGAGTTGTTGGTCTTTTCAAATCACAGAACTCCCCTCAAGCTGGTAAGCATATCTGTACAGCACAGCTCTCACAGAAGAGTGTTCTTAAGCCTCCTCCAGGCACAGTATCTAGACCTGTGGACTCAATTCCCTGGGAAACTGAGGCAGGGTCACCTGATCCCTGAAGTTTGAGGGCATCCTGAATAAGACCAGAGAGAAGGAGTCTTCCCAAGGTACAGGGAGTATAACCTAGGTCCAGCTACATCACCACACCCTTTTCACTGTGTCTCATGCAGAATATGCAACACTGCACTTAAGTAAAGATGGGTGCAGGCATGTGGGACTCCATGCTGATTTTAACATCTTTCTTACCATATCTGATCTTTTCTTTTCTTGGTTTTTGACAAATAATAGTCTTTGGTTCTAGGCTGTTTTGCTTCTGGCAAGCCAGAATATCTATTCTTGGAAACTAGACTGTACCAGTCTTTGTACTCTTTGTTTCTGAAAAGTATCCAGGTACATTTAACAGCTACAGAGATAAATATGAATTTTGTCTTGTATGGCATGTGAATATATATAAATGGTAGCAGTATACCCAACCAGAATGAAGCTTTTGGTGGTCTCGGACAAAGAATATTTTAGGAAACTAGGGAAATAGTGATATAGTTCCTTGTCCCGGGAAAATTTGTAAGTACCATAACCAATGTAGTCAAGTCTTAAGCAACTTTTTTCATGGTTTCCAGTTAAACTTTGACCCACTAAAATATTAGGTATGATTTGGGGAATAGCATTCTTTCTTCTTTAGAACCCAAAATTTTGGGTCAAAAATCTAGAATACCCATGTGGTTTTTGAGATCTCTATTTTCATCTACTTCCGTCCTGAAAGTTGACCAGTACACCCCTCATAATTTGCTTGATTAAGGGCATCTTGCGTGGTACTGTATTGTGCCTGGGTTGGATTTTCATCAGTGTTGTAATAAAAGGAAGTTTGATTTTATCACTCTCTGTGTCGGGGAGCTCTCCCAAGCCAAAGTATGTATATTAGATCAGAAGCAGATAGAACTGCAGAAAAGCTGGGAGTTCGGGAACACTGGCAAGCATATTACTGAACATTCAATAGGAAAGTTATTCCTCCATGTTATGATTTATCTGATAGGAATTTTGTTGTTATATTATAGTATGTATTTTATATTTCTGAATAAGTGCATTTGTTTATTTTATGCTTTGGTGTTTTTCAAATTGGGATGTACCTCCTAATTAATATGATCAGAAGGAATAGTGTCATACTTGAAAATGGCACGTGAACCTTATATTTGTTGATGCCTTAGAGCAAATAAAAATAATGTTATTTTTTGTGTGTCCAAGGTACAAGAAAATGTATGATTTTTCTGTCCTTTTAGTATACCTCTTCAGATGCCTGTGCCTGCCAACTATGTAGTACCCACTTGTGATCCCAGCATTTGGGAGAGGTGGAGGTAGGAGGATCAGTATGTCAAGGTCAACGTCAGCAACATAATGACTTGAAGGCTAGTCTGTAACATGAGGCCTTTATCAGAAATTAAAATACATAAATAAAGGACTTGACCCCATTTCAGTGATTCAGTTTTGCTTCACACAAACTAGGCTGATATTCCTGCCAACTATTTGCTTTACAGTTGTATTTGTGCCTACTTTCTGCCCCTCTTTTAGAAGAACCAGGGCATGTAGCAGAAGTGACTCCCATATTCCTCCTGTCTTCCTCTGCTCTTCCAGCAACAGAGCCCCCACAGGCCCATGTCACCTGTTACGCCTGTTAGGACATTCTCAGCTCTACCTGTTCTGGAATGCCAAAGAAACTTACTCTATCCTCACTGCTTCCACACAGTAGCATGGGCAGGATGTGAAGATATCATCAGGGAGATGTTGTTTGTGAATCTTCATTTTGATTGTATCAATACATGTGTATTTAGAATCTGAGTCCTGTGCTGGCTTTCCAGTCATGGGCCCTTTATGGGAGAATGATGAGCAGTTGAGAAATAGATGTGAAACAACATCAAAAGACAAGACACATAATTGATCAGGCTTTAAATCTAACTGGTTTCTGTATTTGGGTGTGGTAGCATGACGTTATATATAGAAAGTTTAAGCAAATATATTTAAGCTTAATTTATTAGCAGACTTTTATTTTATATGTTTTTATTTTGTGTTACAGTTTCTACCTCCTCTTTAGAATCTTCCAGTAGCATAGAGCAAGAAAAGTACTTGCAAGCCTTACTGACTGCAGTTACCGTCCATCAGAAACTCAGAGGCAACAATACCCTTACTGTCAGACCAGCACTTGCTCTGTCCCCAGGTAAGATCTGACAGTATTTTCTTGACAACTACTCAAAAAAGACAGTGTCTGTTTCTCAGATTAATCTCTTTAGATAAATGTTTTTAGTTACTTCAATATGACTCCTCAAAATTTTTACCCTGCAAGGCCATAACTTTAGCTTCTCTTACTTAGAAGTCAAAGTACCACTGTTAATGTCTAGTATTTAGTAACTATGTGTATTCAATTATTTTCTTTTAAAAGTAGTAATAAAACAATAGGAAGTATCAAACATACTAAGTCCCAGAGTCTACATAAACCTTAAAATATTATTATGAAGTTGAATGTATAAATTTAAATATGATTATTAAGTGTATAGTGATTAAAATTATCATATAAATTTGAAATTCCAAAAATTTCTTTAGCCTTTTATGAATTTGCAGAGTTTGTTTTCTGTAAATGTGGATGAAGCCATTAAGACTTGTACTAATATTCTGTTTCAGTTATCATGTGATGGAACCCCAAAGGGTTCATGTAGAGGTAACCCTGATGTGTTAGACAGGAGCATGTGACTGGAGAAGCTGGTCTCTTTGGCTTTATCAGCTATCTGAATTACCTCAACATAAGCAGAAAGTGGCTTTTCTTGCAAAGTAACACCATGCATGCCTTGCTTCATTTATCATTGGATTCTCTGATTGCACTTGCCAAACCTAACTCTATAATCTTTCAAATATGTGTTATCTCTGATGAAATAATAACATTACTGTGTTATCTCTAATAAAGCTTTTGGGGATTTAAAAAATGCTATGTTTGGCAGCAATTAGACTTGCTACACATGAAGATAACTTTTTGTCATTTGAGTAATGTTAACCTGAACACTATGGTTTTGTTCTTTTTTTGTTCTGACTGACTTTAGGGACTGAAAGGAGGACTTCAAGAATGTCCACTGTGCTTAAGCAGGTAGTGCCAGGACATTTGGATGTAAACCCATCCAATAGCTTTGCTCGAGGAGGTTAGTAAGACCAATTTTATATGAGCACTGATAAAAGCATAACAGAAGAGAGCATTATTCTAGATAGTAGATGTTTTAAAAATCAACTAATCATGTTTCTGAGTTGTTCTTAATTACCCTTCTCCAATGAATGACCAAATTTACTTCTAGTTTGATGACAAAGATGTTATGCCTTATGGAACAATGAATATAATTATTAATGGTATCATACATATTGATGGATTAGAGATAATTAGGAGGTGAGATAATTATGCTTACATGGTAACAACTCACTAAGTTCACTGGGTAAAAAGACTACGTACAAAATTAGAAGAGCTCTCAGTCTGCGCTGTGTCTCCAGTACCTTTCATTTTACTAGTCTTGGAGGGTAAGCTAAAACGATATCTAAATTTCTCTCCCTTACTCTCTCTGGACATGAAGAGATAGAAGAGAGAGACATAGTCACTGCACTCTGGTCTCTACAAGTCGCTGCAAGATTCTTTTACTCTGCAAAGAAAATTCTAAACTGGGGGTCTTGACAGCAAAGTTCTACTGCTCCTTAGTGGAGTCTCCATCATAGGTTTTTCCTCTTGCTCCCATACAAGGATGACTTTCCTTGAAAACAAGCCACCCACATGACCTGGTTCTGCATGGACATTATCAGCTATGGGCAATTTCTTTCTTCCCAAAAATAGTACTTTGCATATACAAGCAACTCTCTGTTAGGAGCATCTTTCTCATGTTTCTTTTTTTTTTTTCTCATGTTTCTAAAATTCCACCAGCAGATAATGTTTACATGTCTGCTCTTGTTCAAGTGGTGTACACCTGCAGTCCTAGAACTCGGAGAGCTGGGACAGAAGGATAATAAGTTTGAGGCCAAACTAAGTATCAGGAGTGAGAAACTAAATCCAATTTCTTGCACTTGAGATCTTTGGCTTTAAAAGCTGTTCTGCTTCCTCTGTTGTAATTGTCTCTGAGTTTCCTCAGGTTCTCTGGCTGTCGTCCACTCACTAATCCTCTTCACTATGTGGACTCTGCAGAGTCACATGCAGCACTCTGGGAGTCCTGGCGACTTCAGGGTGCCTTGTGGGGAAAGCCCCATCCTGACACAGGTCCCTGCTAGAGTAATGCCACCTGTTTGCCACGTGCTGTTTTCTTAACATACTGGCCTAGAGAATTGCTTTTGGTCATAACTATGCTATCAGTTGTACCTATAAAATTTCACCCTTCTCGGTGTTTTCTAATATAGACTATTAATTGTGTTAGAATTTGGATATTAATTCTATTCACTGGTATATTAACTGCTTTTACAGACCCTTTTCATCTATAGAGTCAATTACTGTTCTCAGAAAGACAAAGAACAAATCATTAGTAAGGCGAAGGCAGAGTAATGTGAGTCATGAAGGAGAGTGGTCCTTACAGGCTGTGTTCTTCCTGAAATCCTCTTGATCCTTATTTCTAAATCTATGACATTCTTTTTCATCTAGAACTATTTATCTGCATCACCAGGTATGTTATGGTTATTTGGACATGACTTAATAGACTCAATGCTTTCTCCTAAGAACTATAAATACTCTGTAAATAATCCATTGCAGAATTTGGTTCAGAGACAACTTAAAAGCTATGTTTTACAAAATTCAGATTTTTTTTTCCTTTTTGAAAACCATAAACATGCCCAGATAGTCACTGAATGCCTCATCAAAGCCTTCTGAAATTACAGTTCTTCCCAAGAGCTTCCATCTTTCTGGAGTCGTGTTTCCAGCGAATTTGTTAGGCCTTGAGACTGTGGTGTTTCATTTCCTGGGGCTACTAGAGCAAATATCATAAATGGTGGCTTAAACAACTTTAGTCCCACAGTTTTGGTACAGCCATAAATTCAGAATCAAGGTCAGCATCCTGAGGGCTTTAAGGAAGCTTGTTGGATGACTGCCTTCTAGAGGCTGGAGGTTGTTTAGAAATCCATGGCATTTGTTTTCTTGTGGAGGCATCACTCAGATCTCTGTTTTCATCTTTATGTGACATTCTCTATGTCTGTGATGGTTACTGTTCTATTGCTGTGAAGAGGCACCATGACCATGGCAACTCTTATAAAGGAAAACGTTTAATTGGGGGGACTTACAATTTGAGAAGTTTAGTCCATTATCTTCATGGCAGGACATGGCAGTGTACAGGCCAACATGGTGCTGGAGAAAGAGCTGAAAGTTCTACATCTTGATCCACAATCAACAGGAAGCAACTGTGTGCCACACTGAGAGCACCTTGAACATATGAGAGCTCAAAGCCCACCCCCAGTGTCACACTTCTCCAACAAGGCCACACCTACTACAACAACCTTCCTAATAGTTCTGCTCCCTATAGGGGCCATTTTCTTTCAAACCACTACAATATCTTTCCCCAAGCTTTTTTTTCTTTTTATAAGGATCCAGTCATAGGGCCTAGTCTATTCCAGTATGGCCTTATATTAACTAATTATGTCTGTACCACATAGTTTCCAAATACAGTTACTTCTGAGGTTCCAGGCTCAGGATTTCAGTATTTGATTTTGAACAGACACATAGCACCCATAACAAGTCACATGTAGTTTTCTTTTTTCTGAATTTTTTTAAGTTTAAGATACAAACTTCATTCTTTTCATTTTTTTCTTCAATGAATTTGAAGTAAGAGACAGTATATTTTTCTTTAGAATCCTGGGATTTCTCCTGTCATGAAGTATTGCCAGATTTTTATAAATGGTTACAACTTACCCTTTCTGTGTGCTTATAGTACTTGTGGGGTTGAAGTTAGGCCTCCTATATGCTAAGCAAGAACTTTACAGATGAATCATAGCCCAACCCCAGCTTTCTCCCTCCCCCGCTCCCCCTGTATTTTGAGACAGGGTTTCTCCGTAGCTTTGGAGCCTGTTTTGGATCTCACTCTGTAAACCAGGCTGACCTCGAACTCGCAGAGATCCACCTGTCTCTGCCTCCTGAGTGCTGAGATTAAAAGCGTGTACCACCACTGCCTGGCCCAACTCCAGCTTTCTGATGAACATTTATACAGGTTGCATATCTTTTATCTCAGATGCCATGGACCAGATGTATTTGACATCTTAGAGTGATTTTGTTGTTTGTTTTAGATTGTGGAATATTTACACAGACTTTAATTAACATGCTAAGCATCCTTCACCCAAAAATACAGAATCCAAAATCAGAAAGTTTTTGATCCATCATGTCGTCATCCAGATATTTCAGATTTTAGAGCCCTTCAGGGATTGTCAGGAAACATAAGTCAGTAATTTTTTTCATTTAATTTTTAGTAGAATGCAACTTCCAGAAGACACCTAGATATTTTCATTTGTCCCCCGATACCCCACTCTTGTATTTTATTTTTATAAACTTCAAGAACATTTATCTATTCCCATATTTGGCTGGTGGCCTCTAAGATAAATTTAGGTTTAAAAATTGTCTCTCTCGGGCTGGAGAGATGGCTCAGTGGTTAAGAGCATTGCCTGCTCTTCCAAAGGTCCTGAGTTCAATTCCCAGCAACCACATGGTGGCTCACAACCATCTGTAATGGGGTCTAGTGCCCTCTTCTGGTCTGCTAGCATACACACAAACAGAATATTGTATTCATAATAAATAAATAAATAAATATTAAAAAAATTGTCTTTCTCGTTTAGGACCCATTTTTTTATATATGAAGTTATAGTTATTATTTCTGATCCCTTACCCAAATATTTCTTGCTATAAATTTTTTGTGAACTCGGTTTGTATACTTATTACAGCTTTTTGCTCTCAACCAGTTGCCTGTCTTCTGACCCTTAAGCAGGTCTCATTCTTTCACTCTATCTCTTTACTGCCAAAGCCTCCCATAGTTTTCAAAGGCCCAGTGATTAACCATTATATACTGAGATTCACTTACTCCTCTATGGTCCTAGAGCTGCTTTAATATATCTTTCTCTCTCTCTCTCTCTCTCTCTCTCTCTCTCTCTCTGGCTTTTTTTTTTTTTGAGACAGGGTTTCTCTGTGTAACCCTAATATATCTCTTATGTGCATTTCTTCCATGTAAAGTTACAATTGATGGATGATAGGACGTTAAGTTTTTAAGTTTACATGACCTTGACAGGCAGACGCGCAGTTGGATCAGACTGGGCAAGACTAGACACCTACACCTGCAGGTGCTTCCTTAGGCCTCCTGCAAGTCCAGGTCTCATTTCTGCCTGAGGGCTGGGCACTGCTTCTTTATCAGTCCCTTCATCACCCTGTGTCAGAAGAACCTCTTGTTCTTCTAGTTTTCCTCTTAGCCTCCTTTTTGCTCTTCTGTTTTCATATTCCTGTCTTTGACATACAGTCTTAATTTGGGGTTTACTTCTTATATCCATTGTATGCTTTTCTTGCTCTAAGGAGCAGGTGAGCAGGACTTGAGATTGGCCATCACTGGTTTTCGGATCACTTTGTCTACAAGTTGATGAATTATAAGAAAGAGGATATATCTTTTTTTCACAAAAATTGCTTAAGAGCCGGACAATGGTGGCGCACGCCTTTAATCCCAGCACTCGGGAGGCAGAGGCAGGTGGACCTCTGTGAGTTCTAGGACAGCCCGGTCTACAAGAGCTAGTTCCAGGACAGGCTCTAAAGCTACAGAGAAACTCTGTCTCACAAAGCCAAAAAAAAAAAAAAAAGCCACTTAAGATGTGAATAGCATTATTTTTTTATTTCAAAGTATAACCTTGAAGTAACTACTTCAAAAATAGATATTTCAGCTATTTAAAATTAACTTTGCCAAGTTTCCATAGCAAGCAGCAATCTATTTAGTGTTGAACCGTTTCAGTGCAGCATTGACTGACTGTATCTGTATCTTGTGTACTGAGCTAGGTGTAAGGTCACATTGAGAGTAAACTATGTCACCAACAGATCCAACTTAAGCATCACTTTCCCTTCTCTCTGAAAGTTGGTCTGAACAAAGTAACAATGTGTCCCATGAGACAAATGAGCCACATCATTCCCTCACTGGCACAGTCCTCGTAGCCACTTCTGGACAGGTCCAAGTCGCATGGTTACACAGGCCACTATTGAAGGTTTATCCTCTTTGAGAAATTAAGGCAAGATTAATGTAAGTTTCAAGTCAGCTTGGGCACAGCGTAAGTAAGCAGCCCTTACTCGGGTGTCATTTGGCTATTAAGGCCATGAGTACCTATTATTTCTTGCTTCCAAGGGAGTGAGATAGGAATGAACATCACTTCCAATGATTTTTTTTCCTTTTATTAGATTTGAGATCATGTTTTATGCAGTTTTTGCACTGTAGAGATAATAATGTTATTAGTAATTCTGAAAATAGTTATTTCCCTTGATTGATTTGAATAGTTCTTTTTCTCTGGAAATAATGTAACTACTCACCATTTTTGTTATTACCAGGTAAAGTTTTCCATAGTCACAAAACTCCTTCTGTCTAACGGGTAAAAATATTACTCAAATTACAAAAGTATTTTCTCAAATGTTGCCTATCATTTTGGTGCTAATAAGAATTTTAAGAGAAGCCATTTACTTCAGCCATCACAATTTGTATTGGTGGTATTAGGTATTGTCACAGGATCATGAATTTTTGCTGATTGCAACTTATTTATGAAATATAAATATAATTTCTGAGTGCACAGGAGAAAGGAAGATGCTGTGGCAATCTTAATGCTCACTGCAGAACACGCCCTCAGTTATCCCAAATGGTTGCTAGAGCTTCACTGTTCCCTGGTATGGGACCTTGCTCAGAGAACAGATCTGTGGGACAACACTTGGTTTTTGCCACTCTCCTTCAGTGTGAGGGCCAGTGTACTTCTAACATTAACACATATACCCAAATTCCCTACTTTTATTATATAGACTTATTTCTGTCTGACAGTCTTCAAAAGCTTGTTCCATTTGGTATAATTTTTTAGTGGCACCCTCTGCTGTGCTGTCCATTTCATTGCGCTTACAGTGTTTATAAACAGGTGCTGAGAATTCATCCAGTAGACACTCAATTCATCTTTTTTGTTATTGGGAAGCTTTCTGTTTGTTAATTAATACTTGTATTTGTATTTTCCTCCAGTGTTAACTTAACCTTAAAAACTAAACATTCTTCTCTTACTCGATTGCTCTGATGTTTGCTGCTGTATACATTTCATTTCTTCTGTCTTTAACCTTACCTACCAGTGCATGGGTACAGAGACAAATGTTTCACTCAGTCAAATCCCAAATCTTCAGCTAAGGAAACAGTTCATAATCAAGGTATTGTATTATGTGTCCCAATGTGTCATATTTTACCATCACTTTCATATGATAGTTAATACTACAAATAACTTTTTATGTTTGTCAAATTATATTCTTTAGTTTCATTTTTATTATGAAATTCCTGTGATTCCACTTAAAAACCATTTGCCATGATGCCTAAGGAAAACTTGCAGATTACATAGAAAAATACCTTCCTTTTAAACAGAAATCACCTTCCCTTTTCTTTCTAACTGGTCTATTAAGCTCCAGAAATGCTGATAGAGAGAGAAGGTAACAGCATTATTGAGGCAACTTCTAGTGATTTAGAAACAAGGTTTGATTTTATCATTGGGGAAAGATTCTGAAATAGCCTTTTCCGGTTTACACAAGAAAACCCAACTTTGGGGAGGTCTTCCAGCCCTCACCCCATCTCTGCAGCCTTAAAGGTGCTGTAGGGTTAAGTTGAGAGTTAGTATATGCCTCTGTGGATGCTCAACATTTGAATCATCTCACACAGGAAGTCCTTGATATCTCTAATGAATAGAAACTTGGTTTATATTACTTATACAGTAAGGCTCTTCTGTCTGTTTAGTGTGTATGGACGTTCTCCTGAAAGATGTCTGCTTCTGACTGTATATTTTAAATACACCTAAATTAAATGAAGTGCACATTACTAAATTTATAAATTCTTTCTTTTATGAATACTCTATGAAAGAATGTTTAGTGGTTTAAAAGTAGGTCATTTTTTTTTTACTTACCCACATATGCATTCTATACCCAGCATTAGTAAGTTTCTGGTTTGTCTCATGATGTAGTTTATTCCACTGAGTAAATAAGCAGAAGAGCAGGCCTCCCGTGACGCCTGAGAGCAGCAGAGACCAGTGCTCAGGCCCCTCCTTGTCTCCTGCCGCCACTGCTCCCTGCATCGCACACTCTGTTTATGCTCTCATATTTACTTTAAATACCAAGTTTATGTCAGCATGAAATGAGATATGATTTACTAAATTCTTCTAAATCTAAGACAAAGTGATTTTAAACTACTATATCAAATAATGTTTATATTGCAAAAAATAAGTGGCAAATGATTATGATCCATGGCTTAGACTGATTACCTGACATCCCCACTAAAACTGCCCAGAGCATGTGTCTTACTGTCATCCCCACATTTTCTCATTCCATTTTCTCACTTTTGTGAAGGCGTATGGGCAAGTCTTCGTTCCAGCACGCGTTTGATCAGCTCTCCAACATCCTTCATCGATGTTGGTGCCAGGCTGGCAGGCAAGGATCACTCAGCCTCCTTCAGCAACAGCACCTACCTACAAAACCAGCTCTTAAAACGACAAGCTGCCCTTTATATATTTGGCGAAAAGTCACAACTAAGGGTAAGCTTTTTTTTTTTTTCTCTCACTTAGAAAACTTGGCACCATAAAGGCAGCTTATAAACCCTATCACAAACTAACTTTACCATAAGGGGAAAATAAAGCTTAGTTCTGAACCAGGCATGGTGTGGACAGAGGAGGACCAGGAGTTCAAGGCCAGCCTCCACTGTATGAGAACCTTGTCTCAAGAAAACATAGGTAAGGTTAGAGAGATAGCTCCACCAGTAAAGCACTCTTACTGCACAGCATAAGGACTTGAATTCCATTTCCAGTACCCACATTAAAAACTGGGATGATCGTGCATTCCTATGGTGTTAGCACTGGGTCAAACAGGAAGATCTCTGGAGCTCACTAGTTGGCCAGCAAAGCTCAGGTCCCATTGAAAGACTCTGTTTCAAAAAATTAAAATTAAAAATAAATAAATAAATAAAAATAAAAAAGTAGATGATTGATGGGGTGGAAAGATAGTTCAGCAGTTAAAGTGCTTGACATGCAGAGTGAGGCCCCAGAAACCCACTGGAAATGCTGGATGGACATGCCAGCCTGCCTGTAATTCCAGCCTGTCAAGGCAAAAGCAGGATCCCCCAAGCAAACTGGCTAGCAAGACTAACCATATTAGGAGATCTGGTTTGACTGAGAGACTCTGCCTCGATGAATAAGATAGAAGAGCAACTGAGCACGAATCCTGACATCACTCTTTACCTTTTTGTGCATACTTGTGTTCATACACACACATGAAAAATGGAAAAAGAGAAAGGGAAAAAAATAGACAGCTTCTGAGGAACTACATCCAAGCTTGACCTCTGACCTCCACACAAACCTGCATGTGCATGTTGTTCACCATGCATTTACATGTATAACCAAACACAAGAACATATGGACCAAAAGAATGTTTAATTTTTTTAGTTAGCTATTTATATGTGTGTGTATTTATATATGTATATTTATGTATGGATGGTTCTGTGAAGTGCATTTTATTAGCCATGAGGATGAATATTCATAATCTTTTTTAAAACAAAAGATATCAGGAAGTATAAATACAAAAGAGAAATAAGGCTTATTTAGACTGTATTTCCACTGTCTTCATTCAGTTCTCATAGGCATCTGTGTTCTATAAATAAACAGCCTTTATTCTGTGAACTCTTGATACAGAAAGCTGCACTGCATTCAAAGACAAGGAAAGATAAGGCCTTGTTTATTACATAACATTTTTTTCAAACTTTTCAGACCTGTATACATAGAGATATGGGTTCTAAGGTCAGATAATTCAAAATATCAGCTGTTTTAGCCTGTTACTGTGCTGAAGGGCTTTGCTATGTAAGATTTTATAAATTGTAAAAATAGTATCTGCTTCCAGAATCAACAGTAATTTTTTAAGTTCAATGTTTTCCAAGTCGTGCATTTAAAAAATAAATGTTGAGCCATCCCAGTGGGTAAAGATACTTCTTACCACAAAGTCTGATGACCTAAGTTCAATCCTCAGAGCCTGCAGAACAGGTGTGCTAACAACCCTAACCTCCAGAGATGCTGTGGCATGTGCCCACCTCCACACACAAAAAGTAAATAAATAATAAATAAACGTTTGTGGGATTTTTTGGGGGGGGGTTGTTTTGGTTTTCCAAGACAGGGTTTCTCTGTGTAGCAGCCCTGACTGTCCTAGAACTTGCTTTGTAGATCGGGCTAGCCTTAAACTCAGAGATCTGCCTGCCTCAGCCTCCCAAATGCTGGGATTAAAGGCATATGCCATCACCACCTGGCAAATAGATATAATTTTTTCAGCTAAAATAATGTTATTTCTGTCAACAAATATAAAGTGGAAACATCTTTTAATTCAGAAATCTCCTCAAAGTCTAGCACTGAGCAATCCAGACAGACCTTTGGCTGAACCATAGAGCAGAGGCTGTGTGCGAGCTACTCTCAGCAGGAACCCACTTGCTTGGCCCTTGCAACGCCAACGACTGAGTCATCTCTGCTGTAACAGGCTGGCATGGCTAACTCTTTCCCACTACCTAGACAGCTGCAACAAGTTAGTCACAGCCTAGAAGGTAAAGGCCGTGAGACCTTTAGGTAATGCTCAGATTTAAAATTTGCATACATGTCTTCTGACACAGCAAGCAAAGGTTGCCTGCGTAGTGCTTGTTTTTGGCACACTTATATGACCTGAACTTCCTCCCCAGGTTTGACTATCTGAATACTCACCTCTGGTATTCCCTTTCTGTATGAGGTCTCAGAGGAACTGCGTGATCATGGATAATTAGTGAGAAAGACAGACCACTTAGGATCTTTCCTTTCTTTCTTCCCTTCCTCTTTTTTCTTACTTGTGTCTATCAGTAAGTCTCATATATGTTATAGATTCTAGCTGTTGTTGGTGATTTTCTGTTGCAACTACATACCTTTGTATCCCAACAAAGGAAGCAGAAAGAGAACAGAACCCAGGTCTTCATGCCTGCAAGCAAGCACGTTACCAGCTGAGCCACTCCTGCAGTCCTCTTCTTAAAAAAATATTGTTTTGTTTGTTGAGACAGGGTCTCTATTAATGTAGCCCTAGCTGTCCTGGAACTCGCAGTGTAGACCAGGATGGCCTGGAATTCACAGAGCTCCATCTGCCCCTGTCTCCCCAATGCTGGGATTAAAGATATGCACTAATGCATCTGCCCCCTTTTTTAAAATTTTAATTGGACTTTAACAACAAGTAAAATATAAAATTAAACATCAAATGAACCAAATATATAAGCAGCAGTTTTTAAACTTTTCTTTTGATAATTTACTTTTATTTTATGTGTGTTGGTGTTTTCCCTGAATTTTTGTTTGTATGGGGGTATCCTAGAACTGGAGTTACAGACAGTTATGAACAGCCATGTGGGAATTGAACCTGGGTCCTCTGGAAGAGCAATCGGTGCTCTTAACCACTGAACCATTTTTAAGATCGTAATACTAGGTATATTCACATTGTTATACAACGAATTTCCAGAATACAGCTTTACTTTTTGAAAAAAGAGATGATCTAGTAGATATCAAAGAAAGTGAGAAGAGGCTAAAAGAATGATTGATTCTTTGGCATGAGAATTTAGAGGTCTCTTCAGATTATCAAACTGAAATTACATCCCTATGCCTGTATCGTTCTTTAATTATAAATATGAGACTAAGGATGAAGCTCAGTTGATAGAGTGCTTTCCTTGAATGCACAAAGCCTGGATTTGACCCCCAGCCCCACATAAACCAGGTATGGTAGCACAAGCCTGTAATCCCAATACTTGGGAACTAAAGCAGGAGGATTAGACGTTCAAAGCTGTCCTCAGCTAGTAAGTTTTGAGGCCAACCTGGAATGCATGAGATCCTATCTTTTGATACAAGGGGGGGTAGTTGGAAGCTTTTACAAAGTGTTCCATCTGGTCCCACAACTGCTTATAAGATAATCACTCTGAGGCTTAATATTAATTATAATTCTTTGGTCAATGGCTTAGGCATATTACTGACTAGCTCTCACAATTAAATTAACCCATTTCTGCTAATCTGTGTATTACCACATGGCCCTGGCTTACCGGTGATGCCTTGGCATGTTACTCCCTCAGCAGCTATATGGTGTCTCCCTGAATCTGCCTTATTTCTCTCCATATCTTTGTTTGGATTTCCAACCTGGATCTATTCTGGCTGGCCATTGGCCAAAACAGTTTTATTCATCATATTCACAGCCTATAGAAGGACATCCTACATCAGTGAGTGTGTGTATGACCCTCTACATGCATGTGCACAAGCAAAGCCCATACCTCACAGAATAAATTCCATGTGAAATAAAGTCATAAGTGAAAGGGTACTCGAGAAACATAAGTGATACATGTTTCAAAAAAAGAAATGACAGTTTAAAAATCAAAAAAGACATTTTATTGTAAGTAAAATCTTAATGACTTAAAAGTAACCAAATTGCAATGAGATCATGTTTATCTTTTGATACTAATATAATGAATTTATTTTATTTGCATAATAAGAAATTTGTTTATAACTACAGAATTTTGTTGGTTCAGTTCTGGAACTCCAACAGTATATTTTACCCTTCAGTTAACAGTGTACATCTTGGGAAACAAAGTTTTTACTGTTGTATTAACTATGTTGTTTATTTGTCACTGGTTCTTTGTTTGTTTCCCCTGAGACAGAGTTTCTCTGTGTAGCTCTGGCTAAACTTGAACTCACTCTGTAGATCAGGGTGGCCTCGAACTTGAGATCTGCCTGGTCAGGCAGTGGTGATGAATGCTTTTAATCTCAGCTCTCAGAAGGCAGAGGCGGGCGGATTTCTGTTAGTTTGAGGCCAGCCTGGTCTACAGAGAAACCTTGTCTTGAGAGAGAGAAAGAGAGAGAGAGAGAGAGAGAGAGAAGAGAAGAGAAGAGAAGAGAAGAGAAGAGAAGAGAAGAGAAGAGACGGAGGGAGGGAGGGAGGGAGGGAGGGAGGGAGGGAGGGAGGGAGGGAGAGAGAGACCTGCTGTGCAAATACTGAGATTAAAGGTGTGCACTACCATGCCCAGGCATTCGTGGTTCATGGCCTTAGAATTGCCCTGTATTTGGTGTTAGATACTGTAAGTTCTCAGAATGACATCATTTTTGAGCTAAGTAATCTACCCCTAGAAAGGATTAGACTTGCCATTCTGGCCAACCACTAAAGCTGGCTGCAGCTATTTGACAACAACACAGTGTTTAGTATTAAGCATTGCCCTGGGGAAAGCTTTGTTCTTTTTTCTGCCTAATTCTCTGTATCTTCATATTCAGAGCTTCAAGGTAGAATTTGCTTTAAACTGTGAGTTTGTTCCTGTTGAATTCCATGAAATTCGACAAGTGAAAGCCAGTTTTAAGAAGCTGATGAGGGCTTGTATCCCGAGCACCATTCCTACAGACTCGGAAGTGACGTTCCTGAAGGCCCTGGGAGATTCTGAGTGGTTCCCACAGGTAACATCAGGGGAAAGATATTGTGTACTCAGAGAACACCCTAAGAGGGTATACAACCAACATCTGAAAAGTCTTTATTTTCTCCCCTCCACTCCCCATTTTCTTCCTTTGTCATGTGCCCATTGTAAAGGCCTCTCAGTTCCAAGAAACAGTAGGGCCTACGTGTGAGGACAGATTCTTGATCACCTAGGGTTTTTTCTCTGTGTAACTGGAAGTGTGGCATATTGTGCAGGAATGTTGATGTGCAAGGAAGTCAGTCACATGTATTCATAGCTCCCCTGTGCTGTTGTCAAGTCAGCAAGGATCCGGAACAAAAGGTGATTTCTGCATGACTCCACATGCCTTTCCCTCTGACTCTCTTACCTCCCATTTACTTCTGCCTTTCTGTGTCTCTAAATTTCAGTTTCACCCACACACCAGCCATCAATTACTAGATACTCCAAACTACCTAAGGTCTGGGAAAATTAGATATCCGTCATCATTCAGCAAATCACCCTGAAGACATTTCTAATTGAATTTTTATTGAGAAATTAAAGGAAACATGGTTTGCCAATGCACATATGCCTACATTTCTTCCACACCATAGAAAGAAAGGTATTTATGACATACACATTATAGGCAGTAATGCCAGTTTGGCAGAGAGCAGCGTCTCTGCAGTGAAATCTGCTGTCTGTGCTCATGTTCCTTCCTATCTGCAGCAAGCTCTAGTTCCTCCGATTTCTAGTTTGACAGTTTTCTCCAAGTACCCTGTCTGCCTGTTCCTCCCAGTGCTGGAGAGCAAACCCAGGCCCCCATGTAAGCTAACAGATATTTGTCTCTGAGTTACAGCTCCAGCTCCCCCAACTCCCTGTCTAATTCTGATCTGTCAAAGAGAGAGTTATTTCTCCATTGACTATGAGAAATAACCAAGAAATGTCAGCACCCAGGGCAGTGAGTATTATCAAGACACTTAAACTACCGAGAAACATAGCCATATGTGCACTAATATGTTCTCTACCCTGAGGAGGTTCAGAATACTCTTGAGTACCCATGGAAGAAGTTCACTGGCACGTTGCTCTATCCCTAAGCTATGAGCCCCAGCCCCAAATTATCCTCACCACCCAACTCCCATCTACATTTCTGATAGATTCTGTGTTCTGTTCCTTGCCAGAAAGTGGACCTGCACCAGAAATTAAATGCTAAAGATACTTAGTGCTGTTGTTCTACTGTGTTAGCGTATCCTCTCAAGAGCACTCAGTCTGATAGCTGTGCAGTAGGGAAAAATGAAGAACTTTCCCTGTACCTTGCTCCTGTGATTACTTAAATAACCCAGGTCTGTTTTAAATGTGTGTTTTACTTCAAAGATGAGTAATTGTACATATTGTGTCATATCGTGCTCAAAGTATTTTTTAAACTCAAATTTGGGACATATGGTCTTGAACTCTGTACTGTTTATTATTCAGTATGAATTTTGAGTCAGTTGGCCTGGCTTTAGAAGTTAAGCTAGGCATAGTAGTGCATGCCTTAGTCCCACCACTTGGAAGGCAGAGGTAGTCTACACAGAGAAACTTTATCTTGGAAAACCAAAATAAAAAACAAAAACAAACAAACATGTTAAGCTGGGGAGATGGCTCAGCCATTGGAGCCTAGGCTCACAACCACTAGGGTGAGCATAAACAGAAGTTTCTTACTATAGTACACAGTATAAACAAATAGACAGAGTTTCTCGGTGTAACAGCTCTGGCTGTCCTAGAACTCACTCTGTAGACCAGGCTGGATCTGCCTGCCTCTGCCTCCCAAGTGATGGGATTAAAGGTGTGAGCCACCACTGCCAGGAAGAAACATCTTTTTTTTAACCTAATTCTCTTACTATAAAATTCATCCCTTTAGAGGTGCACAGTGCAGTGTTTTATAGCATATTCTCAGTGTTATACAGCAATCACATTAATGCCAGAAAACAGTGAGTCATTAAAATAGAAATTATTATGTTATAGAAAAACAAAACAAGTCCAATTAGAATCTCAGTCTTTTCTACTTTATAATATAATAGGTCTTCCACTAATGAGGAAATGGTACAAGGCCATTTTATTACACCTCACTTGACACCTTTATTAATTAATAGCATTTATTAATTATAACTAATATGACATAATAGATAGATAGTATATTTTGGATATATTCACACTCTATTACCCTCATTGTCCCCCTCCTAATGATTCCATTTGTGACCCCCTGCTGATTCCTTCCCTCTTCCTAATTAACCTCCTTCTATTTTTATGGGTTTTTGTTTTTGTTTTTGTTTTTTGCCTTTGGTGATACAATGCATTTCATTAGAATTGCATGGTGAGGGCGTATTTACAAGACCATGGGGACCTTATCAGTGGTTGTTCCACTAAAGAAAATGCCTCTTCCTCCCCTGGCACCCACATACCTCTCCAGTGAGGGGTTGAGCCTCAGGCGACCTTGCTCCCTTTGTGGGATAGGATGTTGATTACTCCAGTTTTGTACAGGTCTTTTGTAGGTAATCACAGTTACTGTGCGTTCCCAAGTGCAGCAGCCATGACATCTCCAGAGGACAGGATGCCACAACATTCTTCCCTTCTTCCCGGATCTTACATGCTTTCTGTCTCCACTTCCATAATGTTCCCAGTGCTTTGGAGGATGTGGTATAGATCTTCCATTTAGGGTTAAACAGTCAACAGTCAATCTTTCTCATCACTTTCACCAGTTTAGTCTCTACAGTTACCACTACCAACTGCACACAGAAGCTTCCTGACCTAGCTAATGACAGCACTACTCTGTGGGCATGAATGAATTATATAGAAGGCAGTTTGATGGGTAGAACATGTTTACTTAGATAAGCAACAGTAGTAGCCTTCCTACTAGAACCTATGACCTCCCTGGCCATGGGCTTTCACCCAGTTTTACAATAAGCAGACATGAATTTTTCTTCTGTGTAGCAGGCCTCAAATCCAGGCAGGTGCAATTGGTTACCCTCAGTCAGACTTGCCAGTGTTGTCGAGGGGCATTATCTTACCTGTCCAGTTGGTAGGGTTACACACAGGAACCACAGCTGACTAAGGCTATAGAGAATAATTCTTTCCCCTGCAACCTGCATAGCATAGCACCTTCAAGCAGTCTGAGCACTAGACTGATCCAGCTTGACTTCTCAGTGTTCTAAACCAGAGAGGTTAGTATCTAAAGCAGCAGGATCTGACATGTTCTATTTAAGTATATCTGCCTGGGCTAAAGAGAAGTTCAAGCAGTTAAAAACATGTCCTCTTCTTGAAGATAAGCCAAGTTCCCAGCACCCCCTTTGTGTGACTTACAACTGCCCATAAATCCAGCTCTGAGTTCTGACACCTTTGTTCTCCAAAGGCACCTGCATGCATATGGCAAACACACACACACACACACAAATGTAGTTAATAAAATAATCTTTTGCAAAAACAAAAAAAAGGAGTTGGAGAGATGGCTTGGCACTTAAGCACACTTGCTGCTCTTCCCAGATTTAGTTTCCAGCATCCTCATGGTAGCTCACAACTGCCTGTAACTCTCGTTCCAGAGGATCCAGTACCTCCTTCTGACATTCACAGGCTCCTCAGGCACATGCATACTATGCCACACACCATACTCACAGACATATTTATTAAATAAATAGATTTTTAAATTTGCTTATATTTAATTTGATTTGGCAAGAAATTTAACTATTTAAGCATTATGTGGTTCTTTTGCTCAAGTGCTTCATCTCATCTTTTTTTGTTCTCTGAGTTTTCTGTCCTACCCGGTTCCTGCATTCATTACATCCCAAAGAAATCACACAGAGGTCTACATTAGTTATAAACTGTTTGGCCCATTAGCTCAGGCTTCTTATTAACTCTTATAACTTATACTAGCCCATTATTCTTGTCTATGTTAGCCACATCGCTCCGTACCTTTTTCAGCGAAGCAATCACATGCTTCTTCTGTGGCCAAGTCACTACTACAGAGGGGACTTCCTTCTTCCCAGAATTATCCTGTTCTCGTTGACCCACCTCTACTTCCTGTCTGGTTGTCCCGCCTATACTTCCTGCCTGGCTACTGACCAGTCAGTGTTTATTTAAAATATAATTGACAAAATACAGACAATTGTCCCACGCCATTGTTTGATTCTTCAAAATTGATAGTGAGTCTGACTTCTGCTTCTGATCAGCTAGTGCCACATTACAGGTCCCTACAGCATGCGTAAGCTTTATAAATATGGGAGACTTTTAATGCCATCAGAAGTAAACTGGCCAGTTATTAAAATATGTAAGTATGAACCATTCAGGACACAAGAGAAGGTTGTAAAAATATCATTACCAAGCTGTTCATTGAAAATAGGAATGTTTAGGGAGTGTAGAAGACATTAGTAATACAGAGGAGCTTAATTTAGTCAGTGGTTATAGCTCATAATGCAGAGTAAACAAAATAATAAAAAAGCAGCAGTATGGGGCTGGAGAGAGAACTCAGTGGCTAAGAGCACTGGCTGCTCTTCCAGAAGACCTGAGTTCAAATCTCAGTATCCACATGGCAGCTAACATCCACCAGTGCCCTCTTCTGGCCTCCACAGATAGCAGGCACCATAGCAGTACACAGACAAAAATGCAGGAAAAAAATACCCATATACATAAAATAAAATAATAAAAAAGATGTGATCAGTAGCCTCACTAGTCACAGCTCTTGCTTAGGGCTGACTGAAACATGAGAAATAGGATTCTGACCCTGGCCTCCTAACTTCAATTATTTGCATCATTTGAAAAGTAGTTATGGGAGTTGTCAGTCATTCAGTGCCCATAAAATAGATTTATCGATATTAAGAAATAAGAAACATATTTCCATATTAATCTTATATTTCCCTCCCCTGAAAAATGTAATTCAGAAACTGCTGTTTTACCTTGAGAATTGTGCTGTTGTAAGATCGTAAAGTACTTTGAAAGAACAGCATCAAGTGTTACAGCAAGCACTATAAATCTGAAATTGTTTTGAGGAAGCCAGTGGTTAGAGGCATCTGTGCTTGGACCTGATGGTGTGAATTTAACCCATGATCCTAAAAGATAGCAAGAACTAACTCCCAAGAATTGTCCTCTATCCTCCCCGCCCCATAACTCCACAGAACACACAGGCCTGCACTTACACACATACACACTAAAAACAAGTGAATAAATAATTCCTATTTTCATTCTATATTATACAAATTACAATAAGTCAAAAAAGACAATAAGTGCTTGCTCTAACTGTACCTTCTTTTCTCTCTCAGCTTCACAGGATAATGCAGCTGGCTGTGGTTGTATCAGAAGTACTTGAGAATGGGTCTTCCGTTTTGGTGTGTCTAGAAGAAGGCTGGGACATCACTACACAAGTAAATCATTACACATATTTCTCAGTGTTTTATATTTGTATTTCAATGTAGTTTTTACCTTTGAAGTTATTTTATATAATGACTAATGTGTATGGACAGACAAAGTCCCCTGCTAAACAGCCCCTGGCAAGCCATGCCCCTAACAGCTCTGGGTCAAGCATCAGATGTCCTCATCCTCATTAGGTACACCATACAAACTTGCAGCTAGAGCCCTTGACTAACAGTGTGCAACATGGACCACCCTCCTGGCTTTCCTCCAGTCTTTCTCTAACTCTCTCTAAGCCTGTGTTTACTCCAGAATAAAAAAGAAAATGTGTGTGAATGTCAGCAACATTAAGACATTAACCTACTCCCACCAAAGAGTAGAATAGGTTTGAACTGATTGCCCAGTACCATAGTCAACAAACTAGCCAGTTAAAGGATTAAAATCTTAATTCTCTAAAAGAAAACATGGAGCCAAAATGAGTTTGGGTTTTTGTTATTACTGTAAAATTTTAAAATTCATTTGATTATCCATCCTGGAGCAGCTAGTCAACACATTTCCTGTTCAGGTAACCTTGCTTGTGAACTAGCTGTCATCAAAAGAAAGTTCAACAGGACTTGTTTAGCTCTAAAATTAATGAAGTATCCATCCTGCTCTTGACCTAGGTGACATCCCTGGTGCAGTTACTCAGCGATCCCTTCTATAGGACAATCGAAGGCTTCCGGATGTTGATTGAAAAAGAATGGCTCTCTTTTGGTCATAAATTCAGCCAGCGCAGCAGCTTGGCCCTTAACTCTCAGGGCAGTGGTTTTGCTCCCATCTTCTTGCAATTCTTAGACTGTGTGCACCAGGTAAGTGAAGCAAGCTTAGGATGACTTGACCTGAAGGACACACTGCTTGGTAGCTGCTGCCACAGCTCAATCATAAGACATGCTGGGATTGGAGAAGAACATTCCAGTTTCTGAAGTTAGGAATGTTAGTATGGCTGTTGAACTAACCTCCAGATAACTGCTTAGTTCGAGCGTGCTCCACAAAGTGGACTAAACAGCAAAAGTCTGTATGTATGGCATGCCCTGAAATGCCACATTGTGGTCTTCCCAGTTTGGATACGCTCTACCACATGCATGGGCACAAGAATAAGAGCCTCATCCCTTGAGAAATAAATAGGCCCGGCCAGGCAGGCTGATAGGATTGAGAGCCGTGCTTAGGTTAGTGAAGTAACCAAAGTGCCGCTGATAAAGAGGCCATACTGTGTGGCCCAGTCAAATGCAGAGAAGGGAGAAGAGAATAAATCATTCCCCATTCTCTCCATCTTTCTAGACATGGCAGTTAGACTCCCTTCCTGGGTCCTTGCTCAGGATTGGAATGAAGAACAGGGTGCTACTAAGCCTTCATCATGAAGGCAAAATTGGCCTAGGAAAACAGCACTGATGCTGCAGCCTTGTTTTATCCACATCATCATTCTAGGAGGATAAGTAGGTTCTCCCATGTCAAAAATAGCAGGGAACCTCTGAAATATGACTGGGAGGAAAGGTGAAGACAGTTTCAAAACTGAAAGTAGGTCTTCTGAAAAGGCCAACTCAGCATATGACTATATTTTGTTTTGTTTTTATTATGTTAATCATTTGCTTTTTAAAATAATAGCTTCATTGAATTCTCATTTATATATCATATAGTTGGCCTATTTTAAATGTTAAGCTCCATTTTCCATTCACAGAGTTGCAAAATTATCACCACCATTTTAAGACTTGTTTTATCACCCAGAAAACACTCTGTAGCCACTAGCAGTGATTTTTCTATTCCCCTTCCCCATACATGCATGGGGCAGTGCCTGATTGCTCTCTTCTCTTTTTGTGAAAAAGTACTATACTGTAGTCTTAGCCCGCCTGCCAAACAGGATGTGGAGCGCTGATAACAGGGGAATTTAAACTTTGAAACCCTTGCAAGAAATAACATATATGTTCTCTGTTTGAATATTTGCCTTTTTATTGTATTTTGACTCATAGACAAGGGATATTTTAGGGGACAGTTGTGCTTACCTGAGACCAGAGGAGAAAAGTGAGTCTCTTAGCTCTCATTTCTGTAGGTATGAGGATTGGGAACTGCTCTGTATCCTAATTTCAATGGTGATAACTCATATGTATCATGACTAAAACTAATCAAACTGATGCTTACACCGGAGAATTTTTTTTTTTTGGATTTTTCGAGACAGGGTTTCTCCGTAGCTTTCGGTGCCTGTCCTGGAACTAGCTCTTGTAGACCAGGCTGGTCTCAAACTCACAGAGATCCGCCTGCCTCTGCCTCCCGAGTGCTGGGATTAAAGGCGTGCGCCACCACCGCCCGGCTACACCGGATAATTTAAAGAAACTTTATATAATGTTTATTTAAGTAAGAAAAAGTGTAACATCTCAGTACCCTGACTTTCAGAAAGGAAACAGCAGCAGTCTTCCAGCAAAGATCTGTAAAGCTGTGACCAGACAGGCTGGGGAGCTCAGCTGTCACTAGCATTAGGGCAGAAGAGATACCCATGACATTCCAGTTCAGGAGATAGACAGTCAATTTTCCATGCTGTTTTCAGTCACATGTTTTCACTAGCCAAACTGTGTCTGGTAGTCTCAAGCTTGGGGTTTGTCTAGTATATTTTTTCCAGAAACTAACCATCCAGTCTCTTACTCTGAAAAGGGTTATCATGATAACATAAGGCAGGAAAAGACTCTGGGGTCTAGCTACTTTAGCCCCATTTCACCTTAAATACTGTTTGGGGGGCTTCTCTGTATCCTCAGCAGGTTAGTTAGAGTCTGAAATCAATTTCCTTCTGCAGGATTCCCACTATAGCTTTCCTCTTGCCAGCCACTACCACTCTCCCTCTAGTCTCCTCAGCTTCAATATTCTGCTGAACTGGTTTTGGCCTGTTACTATGTTGTCCTTCTCTCCCCATTCATTTCTGGGGTTTTGTTTGACCTACCTTTATAAAGTTCTTACTAGCCAGGCATAGTGATACACCATCTGTAGTTTCAGCACTCAGAAGGCAGAAGCATGAGGATACCCACAAATTATTCCACTCCAGCCAGGTTTGCATAGCAAGTTCCAGGCCAGCCATATCTGCATAGTAAAACTGTAACTTTAAGGGGGTAAAATTCTTTAACATAACTACAATGAGATGTAAATTATATATATATATGTAAATTATATATGTAAATTACAACATAATTACAATGAGATGTAAATTATATGCCTGCTGGATTTAGAATAAATATAATAAATGCTAAATTTTCAAAGTATGGCTATTAAAGCAACCTGGCATAAAAATTAAACTTCTCATAACTGTTTTTCTAAATAGGTAAAAATTAAACGTTGTATATGTATGACCTACTTGGCCCCAAATGAAAAATAAGGCCAACTTTTAAATGAAAACTCAATTGTTTGCAAGTGAAGGCTTCATGACCAACAAAATGTAACTTCAAAGTCTAAAGACTGGACTATGTATTCAGTTCTAACTGTGTCACGTTAAAACTTTTCAACTGAAATATTATTCTTTTAAATTTTCCTGAACCTGCCTTGGATATAGTAGGCCTGTTTGTTTGTTTGTTTGTTTGTTTTTTAAGACAGGGTAGCTCTGACTGTCCTGGAACTAGCTCTTGTAGACCAGGCTGGCCTTGAACTCACAGAGAACCTGCCTCTGCCTCCTGAGTGCTGGGATTAAAGGTGTGCTCCACCACCTCCCAGTCTGAAAATACCTCTTAAAGATAAGTCTTGACAAAGGGTGTGTGTGTGTGTGTGTGTGTGTGTGTGAGAGAGAGAGAGAGAGAGAGAGAGAGAGAGAGAGAGAGAGAGAGAGAGAGAGGAGAGAGAGAGAGAGAGAGACACCTTACTGTAACACTTTAGGGGCTTGACCTTGATAGGTGTCAACTTGGTTAAAGGAAATTATCTTCTCTCAGAGAGAGACTGTTTATCATTTGGAAACAGAAATCTAAGTAGTTAGCAATAGTGCTCTGCTCTTGCTGACTTAATTATATGGTAGTGTTTCATCATCTCCTACACACTGGTTTGAGGCATTAGAAAAATGCCTTCTTTGAATGCCTTTCAAGTGAATAGTGTTTTACATGCCCCTTACTTTTACCAAATAATTTTAATTAGTGCTGTCTTCAGACTTTTTGGTACACAAAACAGAAGCAGGCCCAATAACAATACAAAAATAAGTTCAGAATTTCATAGACACAAGCAAACTTTCCCAGGGTAAAATGTGATCCCTGGTTGTTTAACCATTTATAACACACTGAATTCAAAAGGCTGTATCTATTAGTACTAACAAAGTTACAAAGAAAACAGATGAAGCACCATTCTTAAATTAGAAATTCCTCATCATATAAAAAGCCATTGTTTATGCCAGTATATGCAGGTGTCAGATGAAGAAAAATGCTAGGTCACTGTTTCGTAATAGCAGCATCTGCAGTTTTTTTACTTCTAAAAGTAGTTGACCTAACTGAAGTGATATCATGACAGGATGCTTCCTTTCCTTGAAATAATTGAGCCAAATCTTTCAAAAGAAAAATATAACCAAAACATAAAAATGAAATTTATACCTAGAATTTATTTTTAAAACACAATACCAGGGCTAGCAAAATGAGTCAGAGAGAAAAGGTGCTTCCCACCAAGGCTGAGAACACGGGTATAGTCCCAAGAGCCCATCTGATAAGAGAGCACCACTCCTGTGCATTGTCCTCTGACCTCCACATATAAACACATGTGCACATGTGTTATAGGGAGCCCACCAGAAATGACCACTCAGACAACCGTTTATAGCCAACCGAAAGTCTTTATAATAGCTGGGACTGCACAGGCAGGTATTTAGGACCCAAGTATAGCCCTGAGCATTTAGAACAAGGGGTTTTTATAAGGCAAAAAGCACATCCTAGGTATATCACTCAGCAGCTGTAGGGGGGTGTTTTGTGCAAGAAGGCAGTTTAACAGAAGCTGAAAGAAGCAGTTAGCTGGAAAGGGAGGTTTGCACAAGCAAGAAGTTTAACAGAGTGGGACCTCCGAGGGAGTAGGCCTGAGCCAGGACTTCTGCAGACCCCAGCATATAGGTCTAGGACCTCCAAGGGAGTAAGCAGGAACCAGAGACCTCTGTGGGTCTAAGCTTGAGTCTGGGACCTCCAAGGGAGTAGGCTGGAACCAGAGACCTCTGTTGGTCCAGGTGTGAGTCTGGGACCACCAAGAGAGTAGACCAGAGCCAGAGACCTTTGCGGGACTGGGACCAAGCCAGGGACATTTATGGAAACAGGACTGAGTCAGCTACCTATGTCAGAACAGGCCTGAGACAGCAAACTCCACAGAAGCAGGTACAAGGGAGCAACCACTGAAGGAATAGGCCAGAACCAGAGACCTCTGCAGGTCCGGGCACGAGTCTGGGACCTCCAAGGGAGTAGGCCTGAGCCAGAATCTCTGCGGGTCTGGGTGCAAATCTAGGACCTCTGAGGGAGCAGACAGGAACCAGAGACTTCCGTGGTTTCAGACATGAGTCTGGGATCTCTGAGGGAGTAGGCAAGAACCAGAGATGTCTGCAGGTCCAGACCATGAATCCAGAACCTCCGAGGGAGTAGGCCTGAGCCAGGACCTCTGCCAGAGCAGGCCCATGGTAGCACCCTCAGCAGAAAGAGCCCCAAGGAAGCAATCTCTGTGGGAGCAGGCCCAAACAACCACTGGTCTTGCAAACCTGGGAGCACCCAGTGACCTCCAGGAATGCGGAGTGACCAACAGGGTGACCAGAACTGTGGCCCTGACTGCATCATGAGGAGGAACCATGTGTTAAATAGCCTTTCTTTTTGGAAGACAAGGGCAGGACCATAAT